ATCTATAAATCAATGATATCAGTTATGCAATAAATGAAAAGCAAAAACCTAAACTAATTATAGACATTGGAAACATTGCCAATTAAATTATTAAATAACATCAGATAGTTTCCATTAACAAATTCAGTCTTACAATGCTAACGAGTTTATAGTTTCTAAGAATACTGGATTAATGCCATTTTAATGTACCAATGGTTCATGTTGGTCAAATCATTCCTTATGAATATTTCGAATCACGGCACTGATGCTTTTACAATCTAAATCCATGGTTTTCATCCAGTTCTCGAAGTCTCCAATCTCCTGTAATTTGAAAAACCAGTAGATTATGAGGCCAGGTGAAGTTTAGGATGGTACCAATTTTAGTAGTTCACATTAACTGGAGGCTTATTAAAATGGTCGTATCGTTGTTTTATAATACATAGCAAATATCAACTTTTCTCAATAAAAGCACCAGGAACCCTAATGTTGAAGTCAGAGAATGTTTACAAAACATTATTCAAAATCATCAACTGACCATTACTAGGGAGCAGGCAATGAGGGTATCAGTTAATTTTAACAAAATTTTATTAGAAACTTCTATGGAAATTAAATAGCATGGTGATAATAAAATTTGTCACCATGCTAGTAAATCTAGTAAATCTTAATTTACTAGAACTAAATGAAAATATGACACTAAATAGGACGCAATGAAGAAAAAGGATTCATATAGTCGACCCCACTCGACCCCACGTAGTGGGATTAAGGATTAAGGCTTTGTTGTTGTTGTTGGTGATAATAAAATTTGTCAGAAATTTTGGTTGTCTACTAAAGAAAATTATAAGTGTTTAACATATAATAATAAGATTTACGAAGCACAAATTTACAAACCCAACAAAAAAAATGTAACTTAAGGAACTTAAAATAATTTATTTTGAAGGAGTTAATTGCAACTTTTTCTATAGCATTTCCATGTTTTCTCCTACTGATCAATCAAAAGTATGAAACTATGGAGAAGTTAAAGCAGAAAGCGATTGTAAGAACCGAAATTTTCACACCTTTTTTTTTCCTCCCACGTGATTCTCTGCTTTCCTTGTCAGCTGCTTCTCAATTTAAACTTGCGATTTCTTTCCTTCTGTGTCGTGGCCTTCCCAATTTGTTTCCCACCCTCTCTTTGTCGCCTTCCCGTGCTCAGCGCTCTATAGGAGCGGGGATAAGGCTCCTACAGATCTGCTACTCTCTCTCTCTCTCTCTCTCTCTCTCTCTCTCTCTCTCTCTCTCTCTCTCTCTCTCTCTCTCTCTCTCTCTCTCTCTCTCTCTCTCTCTCTCTCTCTCTCTCTCTCTCAATTTCGCCCTAGGCAATCTCCCGTCTTCCTGCCCCCCCTCGCCTACATCCTCATTCGGTTTTGCCTAAAACAATCACATTCGTCAGCGAGCTCCATCTCGATACAGTCGCAGATATAGCTAACTAGGAAGGCAACGACGGGATCAGGTATACATAGACCTGAAACTTTCATCTTCCTCATCCTGTCATTCACGCATATCCGCAAACATCGAGGAAGGTAACCCTCGTTTTCCTCACCCTTGCTCCCTGCCACAGTCGCACATTAGCTTCTCTATATCAGGTAATCCTTTCCCAACGAGATTTGCTAAAGTCAGGATTTAAAGCAACCAGAGGAGAATCAGAATTTAAGAATCGACAGGAATTGGAGATGTCATTTATGATTTGGTTATCAGATTGTAACTAAATATTATTCTAATTATATAGAGTTATAAGTTATTTCTTTTGGTAGTATTTTAGGAAATGACAATAGTAATAATAGTAATATATGGAGTAGGTTGCACCTAATTTGATGAATACAACAACAACAACAACAACAAAGTCTTAATCCCACTACGTGGGGCAGGCTACATGAAGTCGTTTTCTCCATTGCGTCCTATTTAGTGTCATATTTTTTTTTAGTTCTAATAAATTAAGATCATTTTTTATACTTAAGATCATTTTTTATACAATAAGCCCAGGTCTTCCTAAGGGCACGTTTGGGGCAGCTGCAGCGTATTGAATAATCTGCTGATAAATTGATTAAAAATAATATGTCGATAAGCTAGGTGCGGTGGCTATTACAAATTTTTATTTTTTTTGGAAAAGCAAGACCGTTGTGAAAACGTTGTTTTTGGCATTTTGAAAACGCATGAGTTGCCAAAATACAGTTTACCCAAACAGGCCAGATGCATTTTCAAAACGTCACCGCACCAAAGAAGTTGCCCCAAACGGACCCTAAGTATACCTCTGTTTTTCTTAACATAAGTCGAATCTGAAATATCTACTCACCTAATCGGATCATCAGATGATCGACGCTTAATGTGACCAGACCATCTAAGACGACTTTCTCTAAGTTTGTCCGTCACAGGAGCTACACCAACTCTATCACAGATATAATCATTTCGCATTTTATCTCTAAGTGTAAAACCAATCATCCACCTAATCATCCTCATCCCGGCAACATTTAACTTAGTATCATGCTTCTCTTTTAAAGGTCAGCATTCAGCGCCATAGAGCATTGCAGGTCTCACCGCCGTCTTATAAAATTTTCCTTTCAATCTAAGCGGTACTGTTCTATCACACAAAAGGCCCGAAGCATTCCTCCACTACAACCAAACAACTTGAATTCTACTATTAACATCCCCATCTATATCACCATCGTTATGAACAACAGACCTGAGATATCTAAATCGTTCACACCTTTTAATAATTTGATCATCCAATGTTACACTTCTATCACTAGAGCTACCACTACTAAAATTACATTCCATGTATTTAGTTTTAGTTCTACTCAAATAAAGGACTTTAGACTCCAATGTAGACCTCCATAATTCAAGTTTTTCCTGGGCTTTTTCTCTCGTTTTATCCACGAGAAGGATATCATCAGCAAAAAACATACACCAAAGTACATCCTCTTGTAAATGTCCAGTAAGACCATCCATAACTAAAGCAAAAAGATATGGGTATAAAGTCGATCCCTGATGTAATCCAACAGAAATAGGAAAGTATTTGGTCAATCCTCCTTCAGTTTGAACACAAGTAATAGCTCTCCATGCCAAAAATGAATGATGAAAAAATAAAAACCCAAAAAACTAGAGAATTTGATCTGGTTCTGAAACAAGTGTATGGAATACTTTTTAGAAAGGTAGAAAATTAATGGTAATCTTAAGGGCTATAATTATATCTCCAACTCTATTATTTTTTACAAAATTATTTTTCAAACTCTTATCTATAATTACACCATTTCTAGTGCGACTCTTACTAGAATACCAAAGCTTAAATGCTAAGTTATCAACTCTTTAGTCTTTTCTCCAACTCATTTAGTTTCTTGAATACATAAAATATTAATCTTTCTATGAATTATAATATGAACTAATTCCGTTAATTTACCATTGAGAGTACATATATTCCATGATCCTATCCTAATATTAACTTCATTAGTTTCATGGACTAACTTCTTTATTAGCATCCGTCCCTAATGTGGAAACTCTTGCTTATTTAACACCACACCAGGGCGTCGGTGTAGCGACCCTTGCACACTTTTCGTTGTATTCGGGTTATACATCGTGTCGCTTCCAAGGGACGCACTAACACTTACACAATGATCAAAAAGATTCATTTCATGATTTTTTTGACAACTTTTACGATGGTTGTCGACTACCTAATGCAACCCTTCACTTTTCACATTCGGGTTTGGGACCAGCAATGAGAGTGTTTATTTTAATGAGTAAATAAGTTAATAGCAAAATTTTTTATATTTTGAATTCTAATTATGTAGGATCACTAGTTACATTGTTTACTGCGTAGCAGTGTCGCAATTGTCGTCTCGAGGTAAGTAAGTACTTTTTATTAGAGGATAAAAACACACTCCCTCGTTAGGGGCATTAATCCTTATTGTTTGTATTATCTTCATAATTATTTCATAAGATTATCAGTCATAACTTGATTCTTCAATTATAATTATTATGTTACATTTTATGTGCTTCTATTATTGCTCATAATGAAGTAACCATCTAAATGTATTGATGCAAAATTTTTGTATATTTGAATTAATCCAATAATTATGATATTTTATTGCATGTGAATTCCTACCATATCACGAACCTGTGTGAAATAATATATTTCTTATATATTATACCTATGGAAAAATATTGGATATGCATGTGTGTGATGGTGTATAGGTTGGTGAAACCCTTTTAAATATGGACTAGTTGGGCCAATAGGCTCATAGAGTAACGTCGCTATAGGAAATTATCGGATTTTCTTGGGTTTGTATTTGACATTCCCGATTTTAATGTGTTTATTAAAACAGACTATATAAATATAAATGAAAAACATAATAATAAGAAATTTGATTGCATGTTTTCTTATGATATTTGGGCATATTTGGCTTATCACTCTCTTTTTGCTTCATTATATTATATATGCACGAATTACTCATTCTTATTTGTTGTACAAACTACATGTCACATTTACTTTATCATTTATGCTTTAATAAATAGTTGTTACTTATAGAACTTGCTTGTCTAAATCACTATTTGATATTTTTACACAACAGGTTCTATTCAGCAACCACTATGACCATCTCTATCAGAGCGGAATTTTCAGTTTAGTTTCCCAGTTTTAATATTTTTTTAACATTTATTTTAGTTATTGTAGTTTTCTTTGTTGGGTTTGGATAGTTGTTCAATGTTATAATTTCTGTTTTGATTCAACTAGTTTTCTATTTTCAGGTAAATTTTTCAGCATTAATAAAATTTATTTTTTCTTTTTCATTTCATGTAATTCTTTCTTTGAGAAATAAAAACAGGTTCATTTCCTTTCTCATGCCCTGCGTTGCCTGGGTGTACCGCTTTCCGAACCCGGAGTGTGACAGAAATAAAGTCATAAATATCAAAAGAAATTCGGAGTAAGTAAATATATAAGCAATAGCAAAGCTTCATAGAGAAGCACATGCAAAAATGACCATTGTAAAACATACCTTTAGAGCAGAATTCAGTGCGTGAGAAGCAGCGAGCCATTGATTTGTCTGTTTTTTATACCGAATGATAGTACTGATCAATGCGCGGATTTCAACTTCAATATGTTTCTCAGTAATGAAGGATTTTTCTACTTCTCCATTGATAGTGTCAACAAGAAGTTCTGAAACCTGAGCTGCAGTTTTTAAAGCACCTTTCTTCGCCTTATCTGTAATTAAAAAAAAAGAGGAATGTTACATTTTAAGACAAATAATATAGGAAGGGTTTAAGCTCTTTTCAGATAGAAAACAAAAACATTGGTAATTAGCCGAAATCAGACATTTACAAGCACATCGATCTAAGTGTAACACCTATAAATTTGAAAGCTATGGTAAAGCTTAACCTTATTGCAACTAAGTATGTTTACCATCACACTCATCAATATAAAAGTTACTATGTCAACACGGTGTAGTAAACAGACCTGTTGGACTACAAATAAATTTGATTAACACTATAACAATTAAGCACCTCACAGGTTTTGAATCCCTAGTCCAAAACCTATGGATTTAGGTTCAACATTTCCCAGCAATCAAATTAACTTACTTAAGCACTAAACAACATAATAAGAGTGAGAAGAATATAAGAATCCAGATGAGCACTTCATTTTATTACATCAATTAGTTATAAAAAGTCATGAAGATAAAACCTAAGGAAATAAGTTGGAAAACTGATATATAAACTGATTTTTTTTGGCATGCGGCCTAAAGCAAGAAAATTAAAAAAAAAAAAAAAAACTATAAATTAATCCTTTGGAAAATACTATGGTACAATGTTTCATTTGCAGAATTTGAGGCTTGTTAGCTTTTGCAATATGATTTGACAATGCCTAGATTTATTTTAACAATATTTACAGGTTAAAATGCTATAAGACAAGCATTTAATTACAGATCGCATGCTAAAACTCAATGCAGGAAAACTCAACATTTGTAATGTGAGTAAATTGAGAAAATAAACATTTGTTGGAACTGAGTCCTTGATTTGGGATTTGGCGGGTGGTTCACTTTGATTTTATTAGCAGAGTTGGGATTTGGGATCTGTCAATTGGTGAGAACACAAGATGAGAGCAATATATCACGATATTGAGGATGTAAGGTGAACGAGGCCATAGGATTGGAGCCATGAGAACATGGCCTGGCTTCCTGTTCAAAAATTGTTTGAGCTACTTCAGTTTAGTATAACTTGTCTATGGAAAAAGGAAAAAAGAAACAAGCAGAGTTGGAGAAGACACTTGGTTCAATTTTTTATTCTCATTAAAAAAAGTACAAACTTAATAAAAAATTTGAAGGGCAAGCAATGAAAAATTAAATGTCCTTTTCAATATATTGAAGATAAAAGTGAGAAGTTTAATAGTATAATAGTAGTGATATGTTAAGCATTAGAAAAGAAAAATAGCAAACTTTGAGTGGGGCTCGTTACATGAATAAAAGTAAAGATTAATTAAAATATCAAAAAGAAATTAATGATTAAAGAATCAAAATACAGTAAAGGAAAAAATATAATGTTAAAAAAAACTAAATAATGTGGATATCTCATATGAATGATTATAGTCATTTAACAAAAGGAAATTGAGTTTAAAGACTAAAGAGAAAAAATAAATAATCTAAAATTAAGGTGAAGTCAAGACCTAGCTCGGAGTTTAGAATAAGCAAGATAGGAACAGGTGGTCAGACAGTAGTTTCTTACCAATCTAAGGCCTAAAAAAATCCACAACAATCATCCAAATAATAAATAGTCACTAAACCACAAGATTTCTAATACATCATACAAACCAAACAATAAAAATATCCGGTTGCAACAACCTACCAACTTTGACTAATCTTCTAATTACGATTTATAAAAAAAAAGCCTTACAAACACGAACTTGAATATTGTTAATCTCATTATTCTCATTCATTATTTCAGTAAAGTGGAAAGTCTATAATTGGTGCTTGACATGGCATAGACTAATTACATAATTAAAGCTTGTAATAACATGTAACAATATTGTTATAAATCAAGTTGTGTTTTCTTGATTAATGGTCCATATGAAGCCTAGCTCGCTCATCTTAGTGTCACTCCTATCAATTTTATTAATTATATCCCTCGATCCACTGCCTGTTTATGCCATAAGTTTCAATATTCCATCAATTAGCATCCATAAAACGCATAAATGCCATCAACATTTAAGCATTTGTGGTTCTTCTATCAGTTTTACAACTAACGCTCCATTTAATAAATAAAAGGGCCATTTACATACATAGCATAAACATTTTATGCATTTACATATCTCACACTTAAACTTTAATATATACACACATAGCACTCAAAACTTTAATATCACATCAAAAATAGCACTATTAACACTTTTTAAAAGTGAAATATACCTTTTTACCTTTTCATGTGTAGGTCTTTTCATGTGTAGGTTTAAAACACCAAAGTGTTGTGTATGTAAATATGAAAGTTTAAGTGTGACATATGTAAACACATAAGAATTGTGTGCTAGGTATGTGAATTTCCCTAAATAAAAATACAATAACCTTTCTGGGAAACTATCTAGAGAACTGACCGGCTTGGTCTTGGATATGAACGGCTCTTTGTTGGTGCTCCTGAATGATTTGGATCAATGATGATTCAAGGCCACCCGTCTCCAACTTTGCTTCTTCCATCTCTAAACCCTTTAAACAAGCTGTCACTCTGAAGCAATGAGAAAAGAAAAATGGTCTGACAAATAGGAAAATTCTCAGAATGATTAACAAATAAGGTATTAGTAGCAAGAAAATGAATTTTTATTATAACATTCTGCAGCTCTGTATAAGCTGGATTTTAAGATTTCCAATTCATAGAATAGAGAAGAGCATGCGCAATTCAAAATACAACCTTATCTAGCATAGATAGCTATAATAATAATAATAATAATAATGAATGTTCAAAATTATATTAGGAGATTTATATTTCATTATTTCCTATTATTTTTAGGATTTATTTCGTGTTGGTGATTGTTTTAGACATTTATTATTAAGCATGTTAGTTTGTTATAGTGAACTAAAATCCCTTAGTTTAACAAAAAGTTATGATGAGAGGGGAGATAAAAGTTCCTTTATTATGGACAAGAGCTGTACTCAAGTGTAACTTAAAGGAGATAAAATGCAATTATGATTCATCAATTCAATCTTTGTCTATTCTAATCTATTTCTTATTTGCCGAGTAGTTGAAAATTGTTCCCAAAGATGATAGTTCAAAAAAGAAACTTAGAAATATTAAATTTTCTTAAATCTTCTAATTGGGATCTAATTTGTGGCAGTGTTCTGATTGCTTTGCTTCTTATAATATTGTCATACTTTCATTTGTTACTATTTTATTGCTACTTTTAAAAAATTTCCACGGTGGCAAACTTCTTTTTGAAATCAGATATGCTCGGGCGTTATGGTTGTAAGAAATTTATTGTTTATTTTTTTCAAAAATATATACATTTTAATACATAAGCGGATTTCAAAAACATTATTGCTCCCCAACAGTTCTACAATTACCTTTATAAAAGGCTACAGTCACCCCAAACAAATCTCAAGTGTTTATCAAGGAGCTTTCGCTACAAAGCTTTCAAAAAACATTCTCAATTTAGCTTCTGACTTTGATATACAATTCTATAAAAACAATGGCATGATAAATATCATGACGAAAATAAGAAGAGATGAGGATTTTTTTTTCATTTAGTGCAAATTGATTTAACAAACAATTCAAGACAATAGTGATTTTAATGGGTAGATATCAAGTCTAATTTGATGGATGAGTATCACAAGATATAAAGTAAAACACATGAAATTAGAGAGAAAAATGAGAATCATGCTGCAAATTAGAATTCCATTGATACAATAAATCACAACAAGAAAAAGCATGCCCTCACGAAAAATCATAATGTTAAATTTTGGATATTATATAAAAAATCTTAAGGGCAGAAGATTTAAAGGTAAATACAAAAATTATTCTTTGCAATAAAAAAATAAGTTTAATTATAAGAGACATAAATAACAAGTTGTGCTAGTCCATTATCCAATCCTACCTCATAAACTATAAAGTGAGGCAATAAGATGCTGTGCAAACTTCAACTTAATTATTGCACAAAAAAACATCACACCAGAAGACTCTCTCTCTCACTCTCTCTCTAAATATATATATGTGTGTGTGTGTGTGTGTTGGTGGGAATTTTTAAAAAGATTTTAACCTCTAATCTCCACTTTGAATAAAAAAAACAACAAAAACTAACCAAATGGTTGGTGCTTTAAGAAAGAAAGAAAGGAGAGGGTTTGCTAACTAATGTTTTCATTCATGCCCTTTGGAGATATGAGGGCAATAAGAATACAACAACAACAAGCCTTTGTCCCACTAAGTGGAGTAGGCTACATGAATCCTTTTTCTCCTTAGTATACTATTGAGTGTCATAATGAGAGCAATAGGAGTAATGACTACCTAGGGTGGAACAAGCCGTTTTTTTGAGGGAGGGCAAATTGCCCCTCTAGACCCAACGTGGGAGAGATTAGGGTAACGAAAGACAAAATAATATTTCAGGAGGGGCAAAACTAATATTTTAGAAGGGAAAAAAAACCAAATTGCCCTCTAATATAAGTAAAAATCTAAATTTGAGGAGGGTCAATTGCCCCCCTGGACCCACCTGTGTCTGCCCCCAATGACTACAAAATTTTATGAAGGAGTATATGGAATGGAGGTCCATAGGATTGTCTTTAGAACAATTGTGTTTTTATCTCTATATGGAAAACAATGGAAGCAAATATAACACCAATGATTTGATTTCTCTCAAGATGTTAACTTGATCATAAGAAGACACTAAACTTTAAAAAACCCCTAGATAATGTCCCGACCAGCTCAAAGGCTTAGAATTTCTAATGCCGAAAAAACGATCAAGTGGAAAAATTCAAATTGAATGTCAATCTCCATCAGTAACTAATTAATCATTCAAATAATTGAAAGAGTTGAGAAAGTAAATGTGCTTGTTTAATATAATTTTTTTCAAAAAATACTTAACAATATAATTAAAAATGTATGCTTCAATGTTTCCTTAAAGAATCCAAATTAAAATTTTATTTATACATCA